ATAAGTCTGCAACCTTTAGAACAACCCCCTCAAACTAGGGCTGCAGCAATTTTCCCCGTAAAATCCTCGTTGTGCACGCATTCTTTCGAATGTCCCCGAAAATTCAGTGGCGCCTACATAATTTATGGACGCTGGGGGACGCTAAAGCAATGATAATGGAACAGAGCTTTCAGGGATGAGTTCAGAGTTTCCCTTTCCAGATAACGTTCCGTCACTGATAGGGGATGATGTTGAACATCTACTGGCATCAAACCAACCCACATGTTCGATTTCTTAGCTGGTCATTGGACGCTAATTGAACACGAGCCGTCTGCTGTCCGAAGACACTAAAATGTCCTAATCATTGGCAGATAATGAGCCATTAACATCAATAAAACCAGTTCGTTCCAGTCGAAAAGTGCATACGGTTTTATAAATAAAGAATGAGTGCGATAAAGCGGCGGAAGTAGTCGGGAGGACTATCGGTTTATCATGTTCCAAGGCTGTTAATTAGGATTGTGCTAAACTTATGGCAATCCACGCAAAAGACTGGATTTTCTCCTAATTTTCTTTCCTTAGCCCTGGCAGAAATTGCCTGAAATCTAAGCTGAATGGATTTGAACCGCAAAAAGCACCAACATTTTAATTTAAATACCGCAATTTGAGGCCAATAACGGTCTATGGTTGTTTATTCGGCTAATGAATCACTTTGAAAATTACTCGATCTATTTCAGACGCAGTCGTAATTTTTTCAGTAAACATTTCCTTGCTTAATTTGTTTCACCCATCACTTGACTTTGTGGTCAACTAGCGCACAAGCCTGAATTTTTGCGATTTTTCCTAAGAAGCCCGTTGTGGTGATTCGAAAATTGCAAGTTTGAATAAGGGTGGAAGGGCTGAACGGTGCGACATTAATCTGTTTGAAGAGTCGCTCAATTAAGGTAAATCCGCTTTTCAGTTTCACTGCACGAATGTTTCTGGAAAGCAGCCACTCGGCAGGATGCTCATCAAATTTCCTGTCGGGCTTAAACCCTTACAGCAAACGGCGGAAGTTTTAAAACAAAGAAGCTAATAAGAACGAAAGAGACATGCAATATGTTGCGATGCCTGGAAAGAACGTGTGTTCTGATAATCCAACAATAAAAAACAATGTTTTATTGGCTCATTATGCAGTCATACAAGTCACAAGCAAGCAGTCTCAGAACCAGTTTCGGACCTACTAGTCCTCATCAGCTTCCAGAGGCTTTTGGCTCTGATGTATGGGGCATTCGAAAGAATGCGTGCACAACGAGGATTTTACGGGGAAAATTGCTGCAGCCCTAGTTTGAGGGGGTTGTTCTAAAGGTTGCAGACTTATGGT